TTTGCGATGAGGGCTGTCGACAGTGAAAGGGTTAAATTAGCTTCTTCAAGCTTACCAAGCACCAAATCAAGTCTTTTTAGGTGCATCTTCATGTCTTCAGACATGATTACATCATCTAGGTACACCATGAGTACGTTACCTATGAGGCCTCTGAATATGTTCGTCTTGAGCCTCAAGAATGTGATAGGTGAGGAGTATAACTCAAAGGCTATTCTGAGGAAATGAAAATGACCTGTGGGAATGGAAAGTGCAGTTAGCTCTTGGCTGTCCTTGCAAAGAGGGACTTGCCAAAACCTTCGTAACAAGTCTAGGGTCAAAAAGACTACCTCCAATATTTTGTAAGAGATCACCAAGTACAGGAAGTGGGAAATGATCTGGTATCGTTTTAGCATTCAACTTCCTAAAGTTGATCACCGAGCTCCAAGTACCGTCCTTCTTAGGTACATGTACTAGGATCAAGAGCACATTACAGGGTGAATTACTGTGTGCGATGACACCATCATCAAGCATCTTATTGATTAATTCCTCTGCGACAGCTACTTGCGAATGAGACATTCTGTATGCAGGTACATAAATAGGTCTAGTACCAGGTTTAAGTGGAATATGATGGGACAATAGGTTCGTTAAACCCATCTCGCCTAGTAAAGCACGATGTTTGTTCAACAGATGCAACAAACATTTGACCTCATCTGGGAAGTCAGTGGGAGCTAAGTCTTTCTCCTCTACTGGTGGAGTGGATGGACACACTCCCTCGTTGAAATGGCACTGACCCACTGGTCAGGTGACAACTCATCCTCTATTTGAACAGGATAAGGATAGTGAACGAGGTCAGCGATGGTGGTATTTGTTCTGGCGAATACTATGACCGCAAGTATTAGCAAGGAAGAAATGGGCCTTGTTATCTCTTACAACATGTAAGGATGGCTCGTCATACAAACCTTTTACCTTAATGGAATCACTGTCAACTAGGACATTATCACCATTTGGAACACTGGAAACAACAGGTACTCTAGTGAGTGCATTAGCTGCAACAGAAGCATCTTTCTGCAGATGGCCTGTGACAACAAGAAACTCGTTTTAAGTACAGCCTCTCCTCACTTAGCGACATACTTGTTTACCGACGACTCGGACTTACAATGGGCTCCCTGACCAGTGTGCATACCTTAATTATTTATATTAAAGCTGATGTCCTGTATTTTGTTTATTACAATATACAGTACACTACTGTATAAACATTTAAAAATGTACAAAAAATGTTATAAATGGTGCAGAAGTGACATTAAAGCAATATCAAAGATGGTTGACACAAACCCACTACCATCATAGTATGTTCCTCACTTAGCGGCGAATTCGTTTAGTGACATGATCTTAGGAACAGAACTCCGTTTTTAAGTGAGGAGAGGCTGTAGTTGTTTTCCAGTAAGGCGTCCTCTGTGGAGGAACTACCACTTGAACATGTAGCCATTGCAGGGATAGTCTCAGTACCCAAGATTGTTTGAGGTTCCTCTGACACCCGAGGTAACTGTACACTATCCTGCAGTCATGATGTTGTAGGGACAGGAGTGACAGTTTTGCTAGTGCCAGACTACTTGGTTATGTTACTAGAGAACACACAAGTCTGTAAGGACTTAATCCGAACTTCATACTCTGCAGCTTTATGACAGCTCTCGTATCTAAGCTGGTAGCCCCAGAATGGTACAGTCAGGTTGGCAATTCGGTCATGCCATTGATAAGGATCAAGCACAATATGTATATTTCTCATAGAAGAAAATCCCAGTAGAAGATTACCAGGGAAATTGATCTTGTCCACAACAAGAAAGGAAACAGTAAAATATACCTTAGATAGAAAAGGCGAGGGAAGTCTGACTACGGACAAGCAGACTAGAACTAGCCACTTCACTAAGGGTGGATACACCAGTTGGTTCTACTAAAAGGACACTGTGCAACTGCTTATCCTTAAACAAGCTTGACCTGATTATAATAACTTGCCCACCAGAGTCCGTAAACACCTGAACAGGCGCATCAAGCACAGAAGCTTGTACTAAAGGACCTATTGTTGCATTGGAGTGGACGTGCAAACAAGAAGGTGAATCATTGTCATAGAAAGTATTTCATCTACATCCCCAAAAATGTCTTCATTGAAAACATGTGAAACATCATCATCAATGAGACTTTCTTCCTCTAGACTGTATAATGTGTCAAAGGAATTACGTACGGGGATGAAATATCCATTATCACCTACTGTCGCCATTGGATGGTTTGGCTGGGGCGCTTGGATTTCCCTGAATTCGAAGGCTGAGACTGATTCTGGTTGTTTCTAGAACCTTTGGAGTATGCAAAACACTTAAAAGTTGTCTGGAGGTGTATAATATACTCTTCAGAAAGGAGCCCAGGCCTCCTGTCTATCGTTTGTATGCCTAGCAGTCGAATGAAAGCAGGACCTCTGACCTATTGCTCACATGGGTAGTCTTGTGACATCATGGCTAGACAGCGAGCTTTGCTATAATGTGGTTGGAATATCTGTGCAAGTGTACTACACAAGTAACACTGTTGACATTCAGATGTGCAGAGGACTTGTATATAGAACAAGATGCAAGTAGTAAATTGTAAGTATGGTGGTTATAAAGAAAATTTGAAGTGATTTCAGGTAATTATTTCTGGTTGGCTGTCTCATGAACATATATTACAAAAGAGTCCAAAGTATGTGATGCTTCAAGCAGATGAGTGCCTGCACTGAAACTTGGGGATAATCCAAATTGTAACATTAGCAAACTTCATTCAAGACGGCAGTTGAATGAATGATGGTGTATGTGCTTTCTTTTTGTGTGTGTCACCCTGACTTGGTGAAAGATGCCAGTGAGGGAGGAAGGAAAATATTCTAACTCATCACTCTACATTGTTGTACATGTATAGAGTAGAAATTTCTTAATTAATGATTATTGAGTAGGGCACATATGTTTTTAGCATTCACGACCGTAGAGTTCTGTAGTATGTAATATCACTGCAAATTCTTAATGCTGTACAGGTCGGCCATCACTAATCCGGCATCATTGGGACCTGTAGTGTGCTGGATTAGTGAGCTTGCCGGATTACAGAGTGGTTAGGTTAGAATACACATAATTAACCCATTCAGGGTTTCTGACATACTAGTACGGCTTACGCACCAGGGTTTTTGACGTACTAGTACGCCTAAATTCTAGCGCCCTCAGATCTAGTGAGAGAAAGCTGGTAGGCCTACATATGAAAGAATGAGTCTGTGGTCAGTGTGCGCAGTATAAAAAAATCCTGCAGCACACAGTGCGTAATGAGAAAAAAAACTATGACAGTGTTTTTGGTTTAAAACAGCGACTTTGCACTGTATTTTCGTATGGTATTTATGATGGTATTCTAGTTTTCCTGGTCTCATTTTATAGAATGGAAGACATATTACAGAAATTGAGACAATTTTGATTGGTTTTACAATAAAAAGTACCTTGAAATTGAGCTCAAAGTAGCAGAATTCTTCAATTTTTGCCAAAGTTCAAAAGTAAACAAATAATGCTACGCATCCAATACACGTCAACTGGTGAGTCTAATATTCTTTCACAAGTGCGCTGATATTATTTATATCATTTCTATATTAATGCAGTAGTCTGCATAACAGTAAATCTTCTATTTTTTGTGAGAATAAAAATTCAAAGTGGAAAGCAAAAGAATGTAAGAGGGGCGTGGGGACGTGACTAATGAATAGAGGAAATGTTATTTTAGTGCCAGGAATGTCTTTCTTGTTTATTCTGGACCCTATTTGGAAATTGGCATCTTTTGAAATTTGTGTGAAATTGGCAAAATTGCTAAATTCTGACCACTTTATTGGATAGTTGAAATCGGTAAATGGGTGGTTTCTTGTACTCATTCGATAGGAAAAGAATGGAGTTCTAGCAAAATAGTTATGATTTTTGTCGACTAGTACACTGGAATTGGCTGAAAATAGGACTGAAAGTGGGCAAAATAGGTGATGCATGAACATCGTCGAGACCGCTAACTTCGTGAGAGCATAATTCTGTAAGTTTTCCATCAAATTTCATAGTTTTGGTGTCATTATGATTGGGAAAAGATTCTCTATCTTTTTTAAATTTGTCGACCCTGAGAACAAGTCTGGGAGAGGGCCTGTCAACCCTGAAAAGGTTGACCTATCAGTATAGACTCTTTCTGCTACATCTTCTACATTTTCATCACTGCTTTCTCCCCCACTGGCTTGCTGCTGTGGATTTACACCCATCTGCACAATTTCTGAGTACGGTATAATGCTGAAATTTGAAATTATGCTAGCCGAAATTAGTGCTGGACTTCTGATGAAACCAGATAACTGATTGCCAGATTAGTGATGGCTGACCTGTACCTCTTTTTGAAGACTTGAATCCTGGAGGTGGGAAGGACAGTGCCTGCACTTTGAAGGAGGGGTTTGGGGTATTGGCTGTTTGGAGTGACATCTAAACTGTCATATCTGAGCACCTCTACAAAGACAGTGATTACATGTGAATGATGGTGAAAGTGTTTCTTTTTTGGGGTCACCCTGTCTCAGTGGGAGATATCCAATATGTTAAAAAATAAAATTCCTTAATATGCCATAAGGCTATGCTTGCTATGAGACAGCTGGATATAACCAGAATGCCAACCCTGGATACAGGCTGTCCTGGGAAAGGACGCTGTATCCAGGGGTGGCAGTCTGATTGGAAGGACTTGTCTTAAAGCATTGTTGTTATTATTGTCATTTTTATTTGGAGGGGCTGATAGAATTTTATATTGCTGCTGGGCCTGTATCCTTCCATAAATTGGACAAAAAAAAAAATCTCAGTGATGAGCATTCCAGCAGAAGCAATACTAACCTAGTGTAATATCTGTTTTCTTTTCATTTCTGCATTAATCATGGTTGATTATTGGTGTTAGCATGATAGTAGTAATTTTAATGACACTTTTATGATTTTATGCACTTACATTTATTTTATTGCTCTTATTTTCAGTTCTATAAAAAGTGTGGACGAGTTGTTGCAATCCTTGGCAGAAAAAGGAATACGAGAGTCCAGACTGAAAGCTAACATCATTCAAGTTAAAAAACAGCTGGAAAACAACCTGACCAAAGAGTAAGTAATTCATAGAATATAAAATCTTATATTAATTTAGGTAAATAGTTGGAAAGAAACCAAACAGTTACTGTGCATTAGTGCATAGCTATCAAACATTGCTACAGTAGGCTGTCATTTAACATGGTAGTTACGTTCCTGAAAACACCGTCTTAGGTAAAACCGTGTTAGATGAACCGAAGAACTTGTAGGAAAAATAGGGTTACATTCATGAGAGCCCCAAATAAAGCCAAACAACTTTTTTTAGGCCTCCACATCTTACAAAAATAAAAGTGCATATGTAATTGTAGTTCATTGTTGTGATGTATAATGTTGTTTTTACTGCTTAAGACTACAACTGTAACAGAAATACAGTGGACCCTCAACCAGCAGCGGCATCAACTAACGCCAAATTCGACTAATGGCGCTCTTTGGCGTCAAAATATTGGCTCTACCAACGGCGAAAAACTCATCTAACAGCTTTCATCTCGTACGTGTCCATGCAGCCTGAGCGGGCCCTGGCACTCCAAGACTGTGTATAGCCAGTGTGCCAATGTTTACATGCTGTTGCAGTCAATTCCACATGTACCTGCGATATATTTTGTATTATTCCCGTGTTTTTAGTGCTTGTAACTGCTAAATAAGCCACCATGGGCCCCAAGAAAGCTTTAGTGCCAACCCTGTGGCAAAAGAGTGAGAATTACAATGGAAATGAAGAAAGAGATCATTGAAAAATATGTAAGTGGAGTGCGTATGTCCGAGTTGGAAAGGCTATACTATAAGAAACCCCATTCAACCATCACTACTATCTTGGCGAACAGAAAGGCAATCAAGGAAGCTGTTGTTGCGAAAGGTGCAAGTATGTTTTCAAATTGGAGATTGCAAATAATTGAAGAGGTGGAGAGGCTGTTGTTGGTGTGGATAAACAAAAAACAATTATCAGCAAATAGCATTTCTCAGTCAATATTATGTGGAAAGGCAAGACAGTTGCATGATGATCTCATTAAGAAAATGCCTCCAAATAGTGATGATATTGACGAATCTAAGGCCAGTAAAGGCTGGTTTGAAAGATTTAAGAATCGTAGTGGCATACACAGTGTGATAAGGCATGGTGAGGCTGCCAGTTCAGATAAAAAAGCGACTGAAAAAATATGTGCAGGACTTTTAAGGAGTACAGCAAGGTATAAAATGGAGAAATATTTTTCACTCCGGAAGAAGGCCGCGCTGAACAACTAACTGACATTAGTACAAATCCAATAGATTTCAAAAAAGAAATGGAAAACATGCCCACTTACTCAGCACCTGGACCAGATTCATGGAATGCTCTATTTATAAAAGTGCAAAGTACCACTAGCACGAGCCCTCGCTATTCTTTGGAGAAAGAGCTTAGATCTAGGTGAAATACCGGAGGTCTTAAAGAGTGCAGACATAGCTCCTTTGCATAAGGGAGGTTGTAGAGCACTAGCTAAAAATTACAGATCAGTAGCCCTAACCTCTCACATCATAAAAATCTTCGAAAGAGTGATGAGACGGCAGATTACAAATTTCATGGACCAGCACAACCAACATAACCCGACCCAGCATGGTTTTAGAGCAGGACGATCATGTCTGTCACAGCTGTTGAACCATTATGACAGAATTACGGAGGCATTGGAAGACGACCAAAACGCAGGTGTGATTTACACAGATTTTGCAAAGGCGTTTGACAAATGCGATCGTGGAGTGATAGCGCACAAAATGAAGGCCATGGGCATTATGGGAAAGGTAGGCAGATGGATTTTCGGTTTCCTAACACAGAACACAAAAAGTAGTAGTGAACAGGGCAAGTTTCAGCTTCAGCGAGGTCAAAAGCTCAGTGCCAGAAGGCACTGTCCTGGCACCTCTGCTGTTTCTCAGCCTCATAGCAGACATAGACAAAAACACCCAGCACACTTTTGCATAATCATTTGCAGATGACACTAAAATAAGCATGAAAGTCAGTACGGTAGAGGACATTGAAAAGTACAGGAAGACATAAACAGGGTTTTCCAGTGGGCAGTGGAGAACAACATGACGTTCAATGGTGATAAGTTCCAGCTGCTTATGTATGGAAAGAATGAAGAACTCAAAAGGAGCACTAAGTACCAAACTCAAGAGGGTCACCAAATAGAACGTAAGGAATACGTAAAAGACCTAGGAATAATTATGTCAGTGGCCCTTTCTTTTAAAGACCGAAACAAGACAAAGATCACGACAGCCAGGAAGATGACGGGGTGGGTATTGAGAACTTTCAAAACAAGGGAAATAATGCAAATGGTGACATTCTTCAGATGGCTAGTGTTCCCTCACTTAGAATATTGCTCAGTGCTGATGGCCCCATTCAAGGCAGGAGAAATATCTGAGCTGGAACAAATACAGAGATTGTTTACAGCTCACATTGAGCCTGTAAAGCATCTTAACTACTGGGAACACCTGCAAGTCTTGAACATGTATTCATTGGAGCGGAGGAGAGAGATATACATGATAATTTATACCTGGAAGGTACTCGAGGGCTTGGTCCCAAATCTGCACACTGCCATAACAACATACTGGAGTGAGAGAGATGGAAGGAAGTGTAAAATAAACCCATTGAGGAGAAGGGGTGTAGTGGGGACAATAAGGGAACACTGTATCAACATCCAGGGTCCCAGACTGTTCAACATCTTACCAGAGGATATCAGAAACACGGCTGGAACCAGTGTAGAAGCCTTCAAGAGGAAACTGGACAAGTATCTTCACCAGGTGCCAGATCAACCAGGCTGTGATGGATGTGTTTGGCAGCAGGCCTCCAGCAGCAACAGCCTGGTTGACCAGGCAAGCACCAGACGAGCCTGGCCCATGTCCGGGCTCAAAGAGTAGATAAACTCTCGAAACTCTTCAAAGGTATATCAAAGGTAAATGTACATAGGCACTGAAAACCTGAACAAGTATTTGTGATGAAACAGGCCTGCTTTGAAAGAAAATGCCAAACAGGACCTACATTACTCAGGAGGAAATGGCACTCCCAGGACATAAGCCTGTGAAAGACAGGCTGACATTAATGTTGTGTAGTAATGCTAATGGTGATTGCAGAGTGAAGCCTTTACTGGTGTATCACTCTGAAACTCCCAGTGTGTTCAAGAAAAACAGTATCATCAAGGGTAATTTGTGTGTGATGTGGAGATCAAACTAATTCATGGGTCACTAGGGAAATTTTCCTGGAGTGGTTATATGGTGTGTTTGGCCCCACTGTGAAAAATTACCTACTGGAAAATAAATTGTCACTCAAGTGCCTCCTGGTAATGGACAGTGCTCCTGCTCATCCTCACGACTTGCAAGAGCAAATTGCGGGGGAGTTTAGCTTCATCAAAGTAAAGTTTTTGCCTCCTAATACAACTCCTCTCCTCCAGCCCATGGACCAGCAGGTCATTTCAAACTTCAAAAAACTCTACCTCAGACACTGAATTGACCCTAAGAGAGTTTTGGAAAGATCACTTCAGTATCCTCAGTTGCATAAACCTTATAAGTAAAGCTTGGGAAGGAGTGACTTGCAGGACTTTGAACTCTACTTGGAGGAAACTGTGGCCACAATGTGTACAAGAGAGGAATTTTGAAGGGTTTGGGGCTAACCCTCAGGAGCCTACGCCAATTGTGGAATCTACCGTGTCATTGGGGAAGTTTATGGGGTTAGAGGTTTGTGGCGAGGATGTGGAAGAATTGGTGCAGAACGACGATGAAAAACTAACCACTGCAGACCTGCAAGAGCTTGAGGTGCAACAGCAACAGATCACAGCTCAGGAATGTGTTTCCGAGGAGAAGGAAGAGAGAGTGAGGAAGTTGCCTTCATCAAGGATAAAGGAAATGTGTACAATGTTTACAAAGGTGCAAGCATTTATGGATGAATTTTATCCTGTCACAGCTGTTACAAGCCGTATTGGCAACATGTACAATGACACTCAAGTGTTCCATTTTAGGGAAATCCTAAGGGCACGTGAGAAACAGAGCTCTCTGGACAGATATTTTGTGCAACAAGGGTCCAGCGACTCTCAAGCTGGTCCAAGTGGCATTAAAAAACCAAGAAGGGAGGTAACCCCACCAAAGGACTTGGTACCTAAAGTCTTTATGGAAGGGAATTCCCCTTCCAAACAATAGAAAACCTGAATCTCCCCTGCTGCTGGCACATCACTCATCAACAACTCCACAATAAAGGTAAGTGGCATTTACTGTTTATTTTGCATGTACCATTCGTTTCTGCATAGGGAAATGTATATTTCATGTAAAAAAAATATATTTTGTTTAATTAATACTTTTGGGTGTCTGGAACGAATTAATTCTATTTCCATTATTTCTTATGGGGAAAATTAATTCGACTAACGGCTAATTCGACTAAAGGCTAGCTCTCTGGAACAGATTAAAGCCATTGGTCGAGGCTCCACTGTAATAGTATTTCTTACCTTAAATTGTGGGTGCTGGTGTTTGTGGATGATTGTGAAGAGAGTGGAGAGTTATGCTGTGGCCCTACTGGGCTGAGGTGGATGGTAGAGGTTCTGGTACTGAAGTTGATGGTTGTACTGAAGTGTCTAACTTTAAGTCATTAATAAGTCGGTCAAGTCATTCAGTAAGTCAGATTAGGTACATGGATAGGGCATTCTGCTTGAAGGATATGAGTAGGAGGCAGAGAGTGTGTTTTCCTGGGGCTGGGATGAAGGATATTGTTAGCCGTCTGGATGACATCATGAGAGGTAATGGGAGCAATCCTATTATCTGTCTCAGTGCTGGAGGCAACGATGTTGGCAGACGTAGGAGTGAGGACCTGATTAGCAGGTATAGGTCAGCAATAGAGATAATTAGGAGGAAGGGTGGGAAACCTGTCATATGTGGCATTTTGCCAAGGAGAGGAGTTGGAAATGAATGGTTGTCCAGAGCAATTGGTGTCAATTGCTGGCTCGACAAATACTGTAAGGAAAATGCGGTAACATTCATTGACAACTGGGACCTCTTCTATGGCAGAAATGACATGTATG